TAGTATTGGCATAAAAGTTGATATCAAAAGGTTTTATTTAAAGGTTGGAGAGAGGAACAGCTAAAGGAAGGGACTTGGTGTATTTTTCTTTCTTCTTCTCGACTATTAATACAAACCGAACTTTTTCCTTCCCTTTTTTGAGACCTCTTCTAGCCTGCCTGCCTTATACGTTACTTTCCATTTTTCTTGCTTTGCTCCAGCCTGTTAGTTTAAAATGGCTTTGGTATACTCGTGGACACCATAAAATTCAGATCTGCTTCCAACTGCTCTCTGTCGGTGTTGTCTAAATTGAACTCTTCATTTCTTTTGTTCTTCTTGATCCACCTCTGTTTAATCAACTCTTGCCAGCCGTAGATCACCCAGAGAACGATACCTGTGTAGCTGCCGCGGCTCCCTTTGAACCTCAGGTCCCTGCAAGCTCCCATGCAAACGGGTGCTGTGCCAGCGTGGTGCGTGCCAAGGAGGGCTCTGCGTTTCTGTAAGCGTCCCTAGGTGTGTACAGCAATAGTCTTTCCATCTGCACTTAGATTCTTCCCTTCCCTAAACTCCGCAGGCAGCTTTTCCAATGTTGAAATAAGACCTTTTGGGATGCAGATTAACTTTTTGTTCTAATATTTATCGTACGTGCCGGAAGGTACAGATCTGGCCTAGAGAACGTGGGGGTTTTGCTGTGGGTGAGGAGCATGAGATGACTGTCCGTTCTGCTCTTTGGGAAGCGTAAGTCTGGAGTACAGGTCTGGTATTTTACTGCGTACATTGCGAACCACTGTAGCATTAACTTGGCTTCCTATCTAGGGCTGCATAACATCTCCGGTTGTGTTTTCACATTTCCTACAACCCAAAACTTTAATCTTCTGCCTTCATGCTTGCTGAGTAGCCAGCGGATGTTAGCAGCAGGCTTTTGAGCCAAATGCTCGGCTAAATTCCGCATTTTATGGCCACTGCAATGAGGCAAACCTTTAACAGGAGCCTTTTCCAGCGCAGCCGAAGCATGGCTTCTGTGCAGAGCCCCTGCCTGCTGAGGCAGAAACGCGTCTGAGTTGCTTTGCCAGGCGTTTTGCGGCTCCCGAGCTGCCATGCTGGCTTGCTGGGGGGGCGGTGGCTGGCTCGGAGCCGGCTGGAGGAGGGGAGCAGCCCCCCGTACAGGACGGGAGGTGTGTGAATTAACAGGCGTCTCTATGCTTCGTTCCGAGAGGCACTGCCAACCAGGCATACGGGTTTTTACGTAGCGAGTGTATTTTTAGCAAACTTCTTAAGGTGCTTTTTGCATGACTTCTGCAAATCAGAATGCAATTAGCTTGTTCCTACTGTTGCCTTATTAATTACCATGATGGACTTAAACTGATTTGGGAAAGGAATTATCGCAGAGGATTGTGCCCTTTTTCTGTTTGGAACCGTTCATCAAGTCTCCATCGCATTTGACCATTAATCTTCCAGAAAAATAGTGATGGCGTAGCACCAGGTTCCTGCCTCTGGAGAGGAAAGGTGACAGCAGCTACTTGGTACTGGGAGTGACCCTCTGCTGTAGGAACGGCCCAGTTCAGCGCTGAGGAAATATTCCTGGAAATGCCCCCTTCTTAAAACAGGCTCACTTGGAACTATCCCTGTTCCTTACAAAGATTGTCGTTCAGTTTGTTTGCGGATTGTTTCTATTAGAAACTTGAATCAGAAAATGCAGACGAAATACTGTTTGAAAATAAGAGGTAACGAAAGAGCTGCATCTGGTTTAAACCCCTTGCGATAGCAGGAGTGCGCTTTTGGCTATTTTAAATACCTTTTTTTGTATTACCAGGTCGATTTGTGTATTCACACATCTGGAATAGGTGCTGTCTGAAAACAGTAATGATGATTAAGGAATGGTGTGCTTTAGAAAAGCCTTTGTTATGGAATAATTGTGAACTATGAGTTAATTTACAGGCTTGGAGTTTCATTTCATATAAAAATACATGCAAAAGAAAAAGAAATCTATTTATCTGAAATTGCACCTGTGAATTATATTGAGAGAAAACTGCATAATAAAATAATTGAGAAGCTGCTGAAGGCCTGGCATGTGCGAGTACGTGGGAATGGTGATCTACATTGCATGAATAATAGTTTTGAATTATTAGAGTGACGAATATTCTCTTGCAAGGAACGATAGAGTCACTCATGTTGTAGCTATGACGATGGATTTTTAATATCAACTAATTTTCAAATATGCCAAACTAAGCTTTTTATTTATTTTTTTAAAGATGGCAAGAATATTTGCTGCTGACACG